AACATCTCAATACGTCTTTAGTTACTTCAAGATGTATGTGCAATTCTTACAGCAAAATCCATATTAATTCATTACATGAAATATATATGTTGCTATATATACAGCACTCTCAGAAGTTTTGGAATCACAAATTCATTCAACAAACATTTACTGAGCAGTCAGTATATACCAAGAACTATGCCAGGAAATGTAGACAAAATATGAAAACAATATCTCAGCCACCCAAGAACTATATAGCAAGAAAAACAGATATCCATAGTTACAAGGATATGATGTGACAAGTGTTAAAATATTGGTAGCTATAAAGTGCTCCGGGGGCATTAAGAAAAGTAACAGTCAGCCTTAACAAAGAGGAGTTTGCAGCTGGGGTGGAGTGGAGGGTGAATTCCAGGAAAAGGGAAGGGTATGTGTAGAGGCATGAAAGGGACTCTCAAAATGAGCTGTGGCAATGCACATGGTTAAACAATAGCATGTGTAGTTGTTTGGTTTTTGCTATGTTTTAACCATGTGCATTGCCAAAGCTCATTTTTGAGAGTCCCTTTATAGTGGGGAGTTGCAAAAGATTAAATCTGGGAAGGTAAATTGGAGACAAGTTTGGGGGCTGAGACTTGATTCTTTTTTGTCAGTGGTTCTCAAGGTGTGGTCCTTGACCAGCAGCAGCAGCTTCACCAGGGAACTTGTTAGAAATGCAAATTCTCAGCTCCCACCCTAGACCTCCAGAATCAGAGATTCTGGGAGTGGGGCCCAGCCATCTGTGTTTTCACAAACCCTCCAGGGGATTCTGGCGCACACAAAACTTTGAGAATCCCTGCTGTAGGCAATGGAAAACCTCTGAAGGATTTTAAGCAGGGAACTGCCCAGATCAAATTTGAAGTAGGAGATGAGGCGCCACTGTTTTTCCTGCTAGACCCATCAAGCACAGCACCTGACACCAGAGTAGTTACAATAAAAAAAAAAAATAACTGTTGGATGAATGTGGAAGGACAGATGATGAGGGCCTAGACTAAGGCAGTAGGAATGGAAACAGATTTTAGAGATGTTTCAGAAGTGACCCAAATTCAGTAAGATGACCTATCCACGTAAAAGGTGTGACTGAAGTGTTTTTCATATAAAAGAAAGCTGTAACCTTGTCAAATGTATCAACTGCTTGCTAGGTGCTTGAAGAAAGAAGTGATCTGCATAGACCCTATAAAAAGGGGAGGTCAAGCGCAATCTCTGTGTTCCCATATTGCCAAGAACAAGTCTTCTGGTCAGCTTGGAGATTCTATTTCTCACTGTAAATCAACAAATTGGCATTCATATTAACATACAACTCTTTGGTGAGTCTGGTTACTGTGAGTCACAAGGATGACTGATCATTTATGGATGTGCTGACAAAATTAAATATCTAACTCTGTCCTATAGGGTCCCTATGACAGCAATAGGTTTGATGGGTAACCCTGAAAGGCTGAAATCCAGGCTGGTGATCTAATGAAGGTACTTCTACAGTGAGACTCTGCTGGAGTTTTCCCCCTTTTCATTCTAATTTCATCACTAATCACATGGCCCACTTGAATCCAGGAAAAAGTTGGAATGAGTGAAAGAATCAGATTTTGTACTATGCTCTGAAAGTCAACAAAGTCAGGTAGAGTGCTATGGTACTTCCATTTTTGTGAAGGCAGGATTTAGCTGAGGTGAACTTCAATCTCCTGATGGAGGAGAGAGACAGGTCAATACAGGTCAACCTATATGGCTACATTTACCTAGTGAGAATTTTGCAGGGTACAATTCCTATTTCTATTACAACTCTGGACCTCTTATTTTCTGGATGTTCTTTTAGTTGAAACCAATATCTCGGCTTATTTGACCAATTTATTTTGTGCAAGAATAGTTTCCAATAAAAAATAGCATTGATTTTACCATACGAACCAGCCATCCCAATCCTAGGTATATACCCGGAAGAAGGAATGAAAACAGAAACCTGTACACCAATGTTCATTGCAGCACTCCTCACAATAATCAAAAGGTGGAAACTGAAATGTCCAACAACAGATGAATGGATATATGCACAAAATGCAATACTAGTCAGCCATAAAGATGGATGAACCTTGAAAACATCATGCTGAGCGAAATTAAGTGAGTCGCAAAAGGACAAATGTATGATCTCACTTACATGAAAAATAAGCAAATGTATAGAAACTAAAGATGACAAATGATTACCAGGGGTGGAAGGAAGAGGGAAAGGGGAGTTTTTGCCTAGGGAGCATTGAGTTTACATTAATGGTGGTGGAAAGATTGGGAAAAGGATAGCAAGTATGCTTGCACAACTTGTAGAATCAATGTTACTGAATTGTACATGTAGAAATTGTTGAGATGGCATATGTTTTGTTTTGTATATTTTAACCACAATGAAATTTTTTAAAACAGCATTGTTTTCTGGAATTTGAGAGCTAGAGAGGACCTTAGAGATTAAAACAAAACCTTTGTATTATAGATGAGGAAACTGAGGGTCTCAAAGAACAGATCACAATGTATTTATTGGAAGGCGAGGTTCTCCAGAATACTATAAGGTAGTAAAACAAGATTCGGAGCAACACTGATAATCTACTCTTTTAAGTTAGACAAGATTTAAAATTTCTCTATTTTCCACCTTAAACTTTGTTCAAAACAGAAGAGAGTAGCAATTACTTAATTAGGCTACTAGGGGATGGGGTAGCTGTTCTTGTAGTTTCTTAATTGTTTTATGTTTTCAGAAATTGGAGTTAAGGTAAAGAGCCTATGAGGAAAAAAATCAAAATTCTGGGAAGAAAATGCACATTAACAATTTACGTCACTCCCGAGGTTCACTGTTCAGCCGGGGATTGGACAGCCCCAGAAAACAAAATGGGACTAATGGGGAACAGCAGTCCAGGGACAAGGACTAGAAGGCAGGCAGGGACAGGAAAGCTGGTGATAGGGAACCCAAGGTTGAGAAAGGACAGTGTTGACATGTCGTGAGGTTGTTAACCATTGTCACAGGGCAATATGTGTACTGTTTAATGAGAAACTATTTGTTCTGTAAACCTTCATCTAAAGTACAAAAAAAAAATCATCTATATGAGATCAAATTGACAACAGCAACTCAAAAGATTTGATGGGAAGCCTAGGGGACAGTGAGTTGAAGATAATGGTGATGGTATAATTTGGAAAAGGATAGTGAGAATAGCAGCACACCTGGAAGAATGTAATCAATGTCACTGAACTGTACATGTAGAAATTTTTGAAATGGTGTATCTTTGGCTATGTTTATTTTCACCAAAAATAAAGGTCCTCCAAAGTTGAGAAGGGAGAATGTTGACATGTTGGGGGGTTGTTAACCAATGTCATAAAACAATATGTGTACTGACTGTTTAATGAGAAACTATTTGTTCTGTAAACCCTCATCCAAAGTACAAAAAAAAAAACTAAAAAAAAAAAAGAGGGGGAAAACATATGCATTCTGTTATAAACTATTTGTTCTATTTTCTGTCTTTACGTACAAAGGAATAACTTTATAATGAATGGGACCTATTTTCCACTACACTTTATTATATATTACATGTAAAAGGAATCTACCATAACTACTCCTCACAGATTTGAAAGATTGCAAGTTTTCAAATATCCTGATATTTGAGTAAACATCTGTTATTTCTGAGAGCTCTAGAAATGCTTCAAAAACTAATTTAATCTTGCATCCTGTTTTGGTATGAAGACGTGAGCAACTTGAAAGACACAGTTGGCCATTTCCTGTTCTTCAAATTTCCCACTGCTTTATACTAAATATATATGTAATCTAAAAGTGAGTGTCCACTCCCTATTTAATATCCTGTATCTAATATTTGATAGGCAAAGAGATTTCCCAGCACTAGGAGGAAATGTGGACAAGATTGTTATCACCAAGAATATATTAAATCCCATGTGTGTCCTGCCTGAAAAAGTCGACTTTTCCCCCTCTGGAACTCACATTATTAAAATCCCAATGCATTCCAAAAGAACAAGACTACTTTTGGGGTAAGATCCAACAGATCTACTTTTCAAGTTTCCATCTTTCTCTTATGTCCCCCAGAGATCAAAGATCCGGGACCATTTTCACTTAATATTTACCCTCTCGCTCCCCTGATCTGAGGTTCCTCCGATTCTACTGGGGCAGAAATGCTACTTCAGTCCAGAGAAGCCAGATGTCGGAGTATAGATTAAGGGCTGGGGTGGGGGGCTGGGGGAGGCGTATGAAACTGTCTGTCCCAGGACTTCAACTCCACCAGATTGGGGCCCAGCCTTCCAGCCCTCTTCCCCACACCGGCCGGCTCCATGAGAAACCGGTCATGTGAGCCTGTTTACAACGAGCAGCTGGTGCAACCATCAGGATCCGTGCGGAGGTCCAGGGAGCTGGGAGGATTCAGGCCCCACACCCCCTGACACCTCCCTAACCCCCCATCCCAATCTTCCAAGGAAGCGTTCTCCGCCGTCCCTGCCTCTCCACCCCACTGCCATCTCCCTCCAGGCAGAGCGCAGAGCCCAAGCCATTCTGGGGCGCCTGGCTCCCGCCCCGCCGATTCCCTTCCATTTGCTCGCAGGGGGGGACCGGCTGGGCTGGAGGGCGGAGGAGGAAGGGCAAGGACGGTGTCACCCCGAACAGGCAGGCAACCTCCCTCCCCCAGCCCTGCTAGCAACGTCCGCCCAAGAGTTGTCCCTAGAGCTGGATCCCGGGGCAAACGAACTCTGTCTGGCGGCCACCGAGGGAAGTTCGGCAGGGGCGAGCCCCACTCCAGCGGGCAGCGGGCGCTGACGATCAGAAACGGGCAGCCAGGTCCCCGCTGCCTGCCCCCCGCTGCCTGCCCCCCGCTGCCTGCCCCCCGCCGCCGCCGCCCGTGCCCGTAGCCGCTGTCAGCCCGCGCGAGCCGGGGCTGGCGCTGGGCCGTCCTTGCCGCGTCTCTCCGCAACGTAACTTCCACGTCTGCCCCAAGTCGGAGGAAGTGGGTGACGGGACGGTGGGGGACTCTCACCTCGGTAACACCGGCTCCTCGGAAAGCAGCTACGACTGCTCCTCCGGTCCTTTGTCAGCGTCTCTAGGCTGCACTGCCTGCTGGGATACCGGAGGACTCAAATGCCACCGCTCTCCGCCCTCGAAGATGAGCTTCTGTGGGAAGAAGGGGAAGGGGTGGAGCCAGGGGCGGGGCTGGGGGCGGGGCCTCGTTGTTGCCACCTGGCCTGGGGTCGGGGGTTCTTCCTTCTCTGTGCTTGCAACTTCTTCCTTCTGTTTCCTCTGATCTCCACTCCCCTACCTCCGCCCCTTGAGAAAACTGGAGATTCACACGAAGGGTCCTCTCTCTTTGCACTTGGTAGGAGTTCGCCCTTGACTACTCCCCTATCTCACTCCCTACTCTCACACACACACACACACACACACACACACACACACACACACACACACACACGAACACACATGCAAGGAGTACCCAAGGCTAGTTGATTCTACCTCTGAGACTTGGGTTATTGACCATCTCTTTCTCCACTCCATCCTCAGCACTCCAGACTGTTTAGGCCCCATTACTTTTGGCTTGGACTGCTGCAGTAGCCCCCGATTGGATTCTCTCCTTTCACTCTTGCCTTTGTCTAAACCATTTCCCTGAGAACAACCAGAGGGGTCTAGCTAAAAGGCGTATGTGACCATGTTACTGCTCTGCTTGTTGTTATTGTTGTTAGGTGCCGTCAAGTCGGTTCCAACTCATAGCGACCCTATGTACAATAGAACAAAACGCTGCCTGATCCTGTGCCATCCTCAAAATTGTTGCTATGTTTAAGCCCATTGTTACAGTCACTGTGTCAGTCCATCTCTTTGAAGGTCTTCCTCTTTTTCGCTGACCCTCTACTTTACCAAGCATGATGTCCTTCTCCAGGGACTGGTCCCTCCTGATAACAAGTCCAAAGTACGTGAGACGAAGTCTTGCCATCCTTGCTTCTAAGGAGCATTCTAGCTGTACTTCTTCCAAGACAAATTTGTTCAATCGTCCACGGTATATTCAATATTCTTCACCAACACCATAATTCAAAGGCATCAATTCTTTGGTGTTCCTTATTCATTGTCCAGCTTTTGCATGTAAATAAGGCGATTGAAAATATCATGGCTTGGGTCAGGCGCACCTTAGTCCTCAAAGTGACATCTTTGCTTTTTAACACTTTAAAGAGAGAGGTCTTTGGCAGTAGTTTTGCCCAGTGCAATACATCGTTTGATTTCTTGACTGCTGCTTATATGGATGTTGATTGTGGATCCAAATTAAATGAAATCCTTGACAACTTCAATCTTTTCTCCGTTTATCGTGATGTTGCTTATTGGTCCAGTTGTGACAGTTATTGTTTTCTTTATGTTGAGATGTAATCCATACTGAAGGCTGTAGTCTTTGATCTTCATCAGTAAGTGCTTCAAGTCCTCTTCACTTTCAGCAAGCAAAGTTGTGTCATCTGCATAATGCAGGTTGTTAATGAGTCTTCCTCCAAACCTGGTGCCCCATTCTTCTTCCTGTAGTCCAACTTTTCAGATTATTTGCTCAGCATACAGATTGAATAAATATGGTGAAATGATACAACCCTGATGCACACCTTTCTTGATTTTAAACCACACAGTATCCCCTTGTTCTGTTTGAATGACTGCCTCTTGGTCCATGTACAGGTTCCTCATGAGCACAATTAAGTGTTCTTGAATTCCCATTCTTTGCAATGTTATCCATCATTTTTTGTGATCCACACAGTCGAATGCCTTACATAGTCAATAAAACACAGGTAAACATCTTTCTGGTATTCTCTGCTTTCAGCCAAGATCCATCTGACATCAGTGATGAAATCCCTCATTCCATGTCCTCTTCTGATTCTGGCTTGACTTTCTGGCATTTTCCTGTCAATGTATTGCTGCAACAATTTTTTAATTATATTCAGCAAAATTTTACTGCCTGTAATATTAATGATATTGTTTGATAATTTCCCCAGTCTATGGGATCACCTTTCTTTGGAATGGGCACAAATATAGATCTCTTCCTGTCAGTTGATTAGGTAGCTGTCTTCCAAATTTCTTGGCATAGACAAATGAGCGCCTCCAGTGCTGCATCAGTTTGTTGAAACATCTCAATTGGTATTCCATTAATTCCTGGAGCCTGCTTTTTGGCCAGTGCCTTCAGTGCAGTTTGGACTTCTTCCTTCAATACCATCAGTTCTTGATCATATGCTGCCTCCTGAAATGGTTAAACGTCGACCAATTCTTTTTGGTACAGTGACTCCGTATTCCTTTCATCTTCTTTTGATACTTCCCGCATCATTCAATATTTTGCCCATTAAACCATGTTCTGCTTAAAACCTTTCAATGTCTCAGCAGTACCTACAGAATCAAGTCCAAATCCTTCTTTGTTTCCATAATCCTTTTCTGATGTACCCAATACTCTAGCCCAATAATCTCACCGTTTGTGGAAGACAGTGGGGCCTGGGGCAGCTTAACCAGCTCTGGCTGCCCAAAATACTCTCCCTTGAAAAGAGGACGCACTGTCAGTAACTTTCACAGGTCCCTTGGAGATTCATTAGAGATAGAATTTTCAAAATTGTAATGATGTTCAGAAAGGAAGAATAAAGTGGAGCATCCATAGGACCCCTCCCTACAAGTATAAGGCCTGAAGAATTCTCCCCAGTTGCCCTACAACCTGATGTCAGCCACCACACATCAGTCAATGGAGGCTTGCGCATTGCTGTGATACTGAACAGATTTCAGCAGAGCTTCCAGACTGAGACGTACTAGGAAGAAAGGCCTGACAATGTATTTTGAAAAATTAGCCAATAAAAACCCTATGGATCACAATAGTTTGATCCACAACTGATCATGGGGATGGTGCAGGACCAGGCAGTGTTTTATTCCATTGTACATGGGATCACTGGTCAGACTTGACAGCAGCGAACAACAACAGGCCTACCCAAGCAATGGCCTGCCAATAGATTCTCGGGCTCAGGCCTCTGATGCCTTTGCTCACAGATTCCCTCAGTTTATAATGCCCTTTTCTGTCCGTGGAATACCTACCTATCCTTCAAGGCCCAGTAGCCCTGACGGTGCAGTGGTTAAGTGCTCGACTGCTAACCAAAAGGTTGGCAGTTCGAACCCACCAGCTGCTCTGTGGGAGAAAGATGTAGCAGTCTGCTTCCATAACGATTTACAGCCTTGGAAACCCTATAGGGCAGTTCTCCTTGTCCTATAGTGTCACTATGAGTTGGAATCAAATCAACGGCAGTGGGTTTTTTTTTTTTGTTGTTGTTGTTTCTTCAAGGCCCAGTGGCCAATAAACTTTCCAGGATCCTCCACAAGAATTAGTTACTCCTGACCCATTACCATACAACGTTTCTTACTCTGCTAGGTAGTTCTTCCTGATGTAGGTAATCATTAGTTACGTGTATGTCTTCCTTTCCCTCCTACCTAGACTTTGAATTCCTCAAAGCTGTCACATAGCTCCTAGTATAGTGCCTGGTTAGAAAAGACAGCAAAACAATTTGATGAAATAAAATTAAATCATTTATCTCCACTGCATCTGAAGCCCTAAGTAGGCCCAAAAAGGACCCTAGGTCAGGACTCATATGACAACCACCCTCCCTTCACTAGGACGTCTTTAGCTTGACCTGGCCACGTGTTGATTTGCGAACACAAACTGGTCAGGCAGCAGAGCATTGCAAAAGTACCAGAGCTTATACTTCCCTTGCAGGTCAGACTGGTTTGTGGCACAATACATGGTTGTGAAAAATGTTACTGGTTAGTACAGCTCACATGAGAATCCAGTATAGAAAAATCTCATGGTGCCATAGGAAATAACTGAGTTTCCAAATGCAGACATGTTTCCTACCTTTAGGAAGCTTTTGGCTTCTATTTGCCTCAGGCTACCTTTGGTTTCCACATCCCTTCAGATCTTGCATATATCTGTGTTCAGGGACAGATTGCCCAATAAACAAGGTAAGCACGTGCTTAGGACATCAGCAAAACAGGGGCACCAGCTGTCCAAAGCAAAGACCCATAGATGCCAAACAGAAAGGACACAAGGAAGAGTGAGTGCCACAGTGGAAGGGAACTGGCAGGGCAGTAAATGAAATTGATACCAGCACCAGTGTGTGAGAAATGTGCCAGCCGGAAATAAAGTTCATGCAGGGTCATGAAGGCACCCATGTGCAAGGTTGTTTAAGCTATGAGGCCCTTACTTCTTCAACACCTTTGTAGATTTCTGTCTCCTACGGTCCCCTCCCATGTAATTGAAACTCCTTTCTCGGTGGGTCTCTTAGGAGTATACTATTTCTTTCTAATAAACAAGAGGTGGGGGTGGGCCGTTGAATCTAATTCTTGCTACATTCACCCACTAAAAATCTTATAATCCATTCCATTAACATGGCATATGCCACTTTTTTGTTCAATCGCTAATACTACAGTCACATTTAAAAAGAAGTTACATCATGGATAGCTAAGACACACACACACACACACACATATATACACATGTATAGATATAACATATCCCGTTCGAATGCGTGAGTAAGCAGAGGAGGTGGTACCACAGATTATCAGTGTTTAGGGCCCTCACATGCCTTAATCTGGCCCTGTCTGTGTTATAAAGTATTCTTTTGCAATAGTGAACATCTTGCTTTGTGTTGTTCTTGTGTGATTTAATGCGCATTTGTTTTCTCTCCAATTATATTACAAGCTACACTCTGGTAGTGGTGTTTCCTCATCTATAAAATGGGGACAAGAATCCTTGACCTGCCTAGCTCACCATGTTGTTAAGGGGCTCTAATGTGGTACCACCACCTGTCAGTTTGTTGTACTGTGGTGGCTTGCATATTACTGTGATGCGGGAAGCTATGCCTCTGATATTTCAAATACCAGCAGGGTCACTCATAGTGGATGTGTTTCAGTGAAGCTTCCAGACTAAGACAGGCTAGGAAGAAAGGCCTGGTGATCAACTTCCAACAATTAGCCAATGAAAATCATATGGATCACAACAGAATATTGTCCGATACAGTGCTGGAAGATGAGTACCCTAGGTCAGAAGGAACAACAATCATGAAGATGGTGAAGGACCAGGCAACATTATACATAAGGCTGCCATGAATTGGAGCCAACTCGACAAAAACTA